AAAAAAAAAAAAAAAAAATGGAGAAAAGCCCCGGGACTCACCACTCCTGCAGTGGCTTTGGGGCTTCATGCAAAGCCCCCCACGTGGCGCAGGGCAGCGAGGATCAACCCTGCCAGGAGGAATGGTGAGTGCGGGGGTTTTTCCTCTTTCTTAAAGGGCCAGAGCTGGGGGGTGGGGTTGGGACAGTGAGCGGAGGAGGGGGCAGCGGGGATTGCTCCCTGCCTGGCAGCACCCACTGAGTCAGGGCTTTTTTTCCCCCCAGGTGCCAGGAGCTGGGGACAGTGAGGCAGCCATCGCCTGGCTGATTCGGAAATTCAGCTGAGGCTGAATCGATTTGGGACAGTGATTCGAATTGCCGAATCAAATCACTGTTCTCCGAATCAGCCAAATCCAAAGCAAATACTAGTCGCTTCACACAGGCCTAGTAAGAAGGCCATTTTATGTGACTGAGTGTGCACCTAAAACACTAAAGGGAAAAAGTTTGATTCATTCAGACAAGTGAATGGAGAGATTCAGGGGTTCAGGTTTTACTCTTAAATACAAATAGCTTTGTCATTCTGTTTCAGTTAAAACTAAAATTCCTTAACTGTTATTTTTTTGTCAATAAAGATCACCTCACAGGATTCTCATAAACCACAAAGACTACAGAACTGCCTCAGCTCAGACTTTTGTCTCTAAACAGACAGTGATTTAGCAGTCTGAGATACAGAAATGGCCAACATCCTTCTCTCTATTTAATCAAGAAGTCTTGAAATAAAATTCTCCTTTTCATACATCAGAACAGGACTGATGCTGTTGTTTGTCAGAAGGAACTAGATTTCCTACAGCATCTTTTCTTAATATTGAGAATCCAGAGATCATTTTCTGACTAGAGAAATATACAAATGTTTCTGAAAGACTTTATTACCGTATCAACCATTGCTTGCTTTCATGTCCAAGTGATTAGCAATTACTGGTTTTAAGAGGTTACTACGTTTGTTCCAACAGGGACATTCATTCGAAACACTGAAAGTGGCAGGTTGGCAATACAACCTGGGACAATTCAAACCAACCGCAAGCATTCACCGTTTACAGAAGAGAAGTTTAGCACCTGCCTGCTGCTGATATTGATGAGGTTGAGCTTCAGGGAACTGCATTCCTTTGAATTTAGAGCCAGATGCAGTCTGGCTTGCAAATAGCTTTTTCTTTCCATCTTTTTTAAAAGAGCTACAAGGAACATGACACAAGCCAGGGATCCCAGTATGACTACACTAATTTTCATATGCTCCCCTCGCATGTTCTCTTTGGTTTACAGCAGGTTCCTAAGCTGCTTCTTGACTTTGGGCAGGATTTAGATGCTTGGAGCCAAGATGACTTGAAAGCATTCATCCAAAGCAGCAGCCGTTGCCACCATATTCAACACCAAAGACTATCCACAGTTAACATGACATGAAATCTAAACTCTCTTGGATAATCTTCCTGAGTTCCTGGTACTTCCCTTTTCTGAGAAAACATCAGCCAGCTTGGAAACCATTCATCCACTGACCAGGTAGGCCTGGTCAAACTGCCCAGGCAAGTGTATGAATCTCAGAAGGAAAGCACAGTCAGGAAAATGACTAGCAAAATGCAAATACCCACATACCAGAGAACTGTAATTTAGCAGGCTGAGATGACTAAAAGCAAGGAGATACCGAAAAGAATTGGAACAAGAATTCAAGATGTGCTGAGACTAAACAGACCTATGTGCTAACAGTATGTTGTCCAAACGCCAGAGCATCCTAAGCTGCATGAAGTAGGAAATGCATGGTAACACTGACAAAGACATCAGATGCATGTAAAGCCCAAGCCCATCAGTCAAGTTAATAAAGAATTTAGCTAAAGACAGGCAAAAAAAATAGGCTATCAAGTATTGCAGAACAAGGAAAGACTAATCACAGGGAAGTGCTTCTTTTGCAGGGGCTGTCAGAAAGGATCTGGCCTGGGCATATATTATGACACAGATAGCACGTGACACTAATGCTCCTGTTTAAGGCCAAGAATGTTTGTGCTGAAGGAGTTCTGGAAGCCTTACACAAAAGGAGTGGTAACAGTGAAAAGCTCAGAGCCTGCCCACAGATAAGGCAAAACTCTCCAGTATCGCACGTGAAAGGAGTTGGACAGGAGACAAACAACTTGGCTTTCACAGCCATGCCTCATTACATATAAAAGAAGGGAGCTCTGCAGGCCAGATCTGACCTGTGTGCCATGTCTTTGACACCCGTTGTCTAAATCAATTTAAATATCTTCTATTTCCCAATGTAAAATCACCCAGAAAGATCTTTGAAGAGTATTAGGTGAAAAAAAACCAACCAGACAAACAGTCACATGTATCAGCAATTTAAAGTGTATGTATAAAGTACTTACAACTGTTTCCTTAGCAGGAGGCGGCTTGCTCTGTTGACTGGGAATCAGCACAAATGTCAGAGTGCCATGCATGTCAGCCTGTGATGAAAAAGACTCCTTAGTAATGTACACAACTGTTTCAATCAGGAATTCCAATAAAGCCACCTATGTCTGTTGGGCTGCACAGTGCACAAATTTCAAGACACTTGAGATGCACTGGATGCATCGTATCACCACTTAGGCTGAAATGATTCCTGTACAGACCCATGACTATAAAGAGTAAATGCTGACTATCATAAGGAGGAACCCTGGAATGTTTGGTTGTGCGTGTTACTCATTCCTCTAGAAATGGTGCATATTTAACAGCAACCAACATTAATTAGAGTAATGCAAGAGTGAATGTGGGCCAAGCATGGATATAATTCTCAAATTACATCCTGAATGACACTGGTTTGTCATTCAGCCTAGGTGCTGTCAAATCTGTCTCAGGTTTCTTCACTTGTTAAAAGAAGAATCATTTCTTTATCTTCCATACATGTTGTAAGGGTTAACTGGTGAATAACTGCTAAGAATTTTGGACTTGAGACACCATAAAAATATTATTTGAATAAAAAAACTACGTTAAAACAAATGTTAAGGTTGAAAAATGAGACACTCAAAAATTCAGAAATGTGAGAATTAAATTTGCAAATAAAACTTGGCCGTTTGAACACATACATTATGATACAGGTCTTTAATTATACTATATCATACTTAATCCTTTAAATAAGACTTGTTCATAGAACTCACCCAAGAACAGAGAAAGTTCTCTGTAGATAAATCTTTATAAAATAATGTTGACAAAGCCTATCAAAATGCTATTAAGCACGTCTAAACTGTGATTTTGAGAGACCTATGACTTGGTTGAATTCTGATGATTTTTTTTTTTTAAACAGAGATGCCAGGAGAGATGTTTTGCATTCAAGTCAATGACTAAGAAACTACAAATATACAATTCAGATCCAGCATGCTTTTTGTAGATGAAGCAATTTTAAAGGATCAGACCAGAAATTATCTATAACAGGAAAAAACAAAACCACAAACTTACCAACAGATCAAAAACTTCATTAACGTCTTTTCCACGAATTTCAATACCATTAATTTGCAGAACTTCATCTCCTTCACGTAACAAGCCACTCTTCTCTGCAGCACCTCCTTTCACTATTCGACTAATGATAACAGAATCCATTTCATTGCGTACTGTAGCACCCTGAATAATTGCAAGCCAAGAATCAATTCGTAATAAGTTCAGAAACTCCTGGATATCTATTGCAGATATTTCAAACCACTGGATAAAAACAAGTATAAACTGCAAGTGAAAATAAGCAACAACTTAGAGGCATACAACTAAAGCTTTGATTAAAAATAATAATTCAGTTCTGCAATCTATGATGAAACAGACAGTGAGTTCAACCATACATATATGACAGATACTATTTTTCCAGAGAAAATGTTTTACTTGTCTTAGCAGATGAAAAACAGTAGATGAGAGAGAAATGCTGAGAGTGCTTGGCACAGCAAGGATTTAACTCTATTTCAATGCATCTTGAGATAGTGTCTTAGGAAACTCTCCCTTCAATCCCACTGGACATTCCAGAGATTGTACTGACTTTACTGTAAACAGTAATTACCGTAAGTTTCAGTTTTAGAATAAAGCAGCTCAAATATATAAAATTTATGTCAGCTATATTTACTATTATTTCCTTCTTCATTGAGAGCCACTCTCTTAACACTGTAATATTTCCCTTTGGCCTTTCTTTCCCCTGCTTTCTTCCCACTCTCTCCCCAGCTTTACCTTATGTTTTTCCTGTTCACCCATTTATATTTTCACGACATCCTCTCACACCTTGAACTTCTCTCAGTCCTGTTTTCCTGATCTACTACTTTCTTCTTCACTGGCAGCCTCTTTTCTACCTTATATTCTATCACTATAATGTCTCCCTTCAGTCTTCCCCCCACCTCCCTCCCCTTCACCCTCTGCTTTATCTTTTCTTTCTAATTTCTACCTATTTACACTTTCACTGACATCCTGCCACACCTTTAGCTTTTCTCACAATCCATGAATCTATGAAATAAGGCCAGAAGGGACCTCAGAAGACCATTGGGTCCAGCCCCTGTACTAAGCAGGAAAGATAACTGGGGGTCAGGTGACCCCAGCAAGGTGACTGTCCAGTTTCCTCTTGAAGATTTCCAGGGTAGGTGATTGCACCATCTTTGGAGGGAGTTTATTCCACAGTCTGAACACCCTGACTGTGAAGAATTTTTTCCTAATGTTAAGCCTGAATCGGTCTTCCAGGGGTTGGTGACCATTACTACTGGTTCTTCCCTTGGGTGCCCTGGTGAACAGTTGCTCATCAAGCCCGTGATGTACTCCCCTAGTGTAGCGGTAAGCTACTACCAGGTCCCCTCTCAGCCTTCTTTTCTTCAGGCTGAAGAGTCCCAGATCCCTCAGCCTTTCCTCATATGGCTTGCCATGTAAGACTGTGATCATACCGGTGGCTCTTTTCTAGACTCTCAAGCTTGTCCATTTCCTTGTTAAAGTGTGGTGCCCAGAACTGGATGCAGTACTCCAGCTGGCATCTCACCATTGCTGAGCAGATTGGAAGAATCACTTCCTTGGTTTTGTTGGAGATGCACTGATTGATACATGCCAGAGTATTATTTGCCCTGCTGGCTACAGCATCGCACTGATGGCTCATATTCACTGCTGTCTATTATTACCCCCCAGGTCCCTTTCATTTGTGGTGCTAGTCAGTTTGGTGCTGCCAAGCCTGTAGGTGTGTTGGGGGTTTTTTGTCCTGAGGTGGAGCACTTTACATTTGTCAACATTGAACTTCATCAGATTCTGATCTGTCCAACTTGCTAGCCTGTCTAGGTCTGCCTGTATCTGTAGCTATCTTCAAGAGTGACCACACTTCCCCATAACTTGGTGTCATCCACAAACTTGGCCAGTGAGCTCTTTACCCCCACATCCAAATCGTTAATAAAGATGTTGAAAAGTACTGCACCAAACACTGACCCCTGTGGGATGCCGCTGCCTACTTCTCACCAGAATGATGGATCTGTTCACTATGACTCTCTGGGTCCTATCCTGCTGCCAGTATCTCATACACCTGACTGTCTCCGAGTTAAGCCCACAATCCTCCAATTTTCTAGTGAGGACATCATGGGATACTAGATCAAAGGCCTTTTGGAAGTCAAGGTATACAATGTCAACCTGCTCTCTTGTGCCGAGGTGGAGAATTACCTGGTCATAGGAGATGAGGTTGGTAACACAGTCAAATGGGTCGCCAACTGGCTGGAGGGCCGCAGCCAGAGAGTGGTGGTGGATGGGTCCCTCTCAACCTGGAAGGACGTGGGCAGTGGGGTTCCGCAGGGCTCGGTCCTC